CAAAGTTATTTCAAAATATAAGTCATAAAATTGAACTACGATGCTATTAAAGAAAGCGAGATTCAAAGTTACTCTTGCTTTTCTAAAATTCCGAAAAATCTTCGAGTCATACTCTTTTCTACAGGATGAGCAGGTGCCGCCAGAAAACAAAAATGACCAAAGAGACAGCAGGATTATCGTATTACTAGAGTCAAAAAAACATCGAAAGTGAGTTTTATTTTTCTTGGAAATACATTAAAGTTTGACAGTGAAGAAGTTTCAAAGCAAATATACCTCGCACTTTCAGTAACTATTACAAATCTTACGTAAATTTAAGAAACTTAGCATAATTTTGTCTTTTTTGGTCCTACATATTTTCATTAGAGCAGCACGTTTTAAACGCTTCTAAGTAAAAGAAATGCATTTTTTAGATGGAAGGAAATTGTTAGTAGTGTTAGAATGTAAGAAACTAAATGAAAAAAGCTACACTTTTAAACCCAACATTAAAATTGAAATTTTCCATTTTTTCGCACTATAAAATAGAAATTCTCAAACGTCTGAATTTTAAAGGGACATATAAAAATAATCTTAAACATTGAAAAGAGAAAATAAGAAGAAAAAGAAAGTACTACTTCAGAATCTCAGCAATCAAGGTGTAAGCAGTCATCATTTAAAAATAACAAATAAATAAGTTAATAAAAAAAATCTGAAAGATTTCAAATTTTAAATTACGTCCAGTGGGGCGTTTTTTTAACATTTTGTGTGTTACATTTATTTATTAAATACCATGTTCTTTGCACTGAAACCATAAAATTCAGTTCAATATAGCAATGTCGCAAAATAATTTTAAAATGAACCTATCTTTAGAATTTCCGATACACAGTTCCACGCGCTGGAGTTAAAAAGGATTTTCCCCGTAGAGTGTTGCAATTGCTCTCTTTTAAATCGCTGAGTTTGTTAATCAAACATTCGTTAAAGCTTTACAAAGTATGAAATCGATAATAAAACAAATTCTAAATTTCAAATTTGGTCTTCCACATGCCCATATTCGTAAGAGGGTTACGTCATTCAAAATTCGATGACCGTATGTACCGTTGTTTAATCACAATGAGAGAAATATACATCTATTGATGCAGATATTTCATTATTTAATTTCTTCAGGACATATATATAATGCAGGTCTCTAACATTTGGTGGCAACAGTTTGAAAAGTGAAACGGACATTTATAGTGATTTAACGAAAAATCGCAAAACCAAAAGAATAGTTCTTCGGGGACAGAGCCCCTTTGGACTAATAAAAGTCAATTTTTGCCTTTGGTGTCACAATTCAAGTAAATAAAAACAACTAGGACAATTTCGTACAGACGAATTCAAGATCTAACGGAAATGTGATCATGCTGTATCAAATTTTCGATATGATTCCGAAATGTAAAAATTTTCTAAATTTACAACTGTTGCTTTGCCTTAGGAACATTCAACATTAAAAAAATATATATAAAAAAATAATAAATAAATAAATAAATAAATAAAACACCACCTTTTCTGCTTCTGAATTTTTACAAAATCATTCTCAAAGAATTAACACGCAGAAAATATTTAAAACAAATAATCCCACATTAATAATCTGAAAAAATATGTACACATTTTCTGCACTTACGATTCTGTTTTTAAGATATCTTATTAAAGAAACCACAACGACTGTACATCTCTTGAACAAAGTCAAATATTCGACAACTAGAAATTAAGAGGATAAAATTTTATTATATTTTATGTATCAAATGAACGCATTTTAAGCAAGCAAGCGTAAAGCACAAATTTTGACTAGAAAAACAACTACCTTAAGCTTACTAAGAAAACTATAAAAACTGCTTCCTCCACACCCTTGCAGAATATTCGAACTGCTAGATAACGAAACTGAAACTTGGTTGCGCTAAGCACGTAAGAAAAGTTTCGATTTCAACTTCGCCATTTGGCGGACTTTGAAAGTGCATTTTAAAGCGCAGTTTGTAACATTTTATAGTCTATACAAAACAGATTCGGGTAGAAAGAGAAAGATGAAAGAATGCATACTCTTAATAAAAGACCCCCCCTATTAAAGGAATTACGAAAAGTGTATTTAAATTAGAACTTTTCGAGAAATTTCACATTTCTCCTAAAATGATACAGAAATCTTTAAAAAAATATGTAATATCACTCAAGTATTGAATTTTAAAATATTGAAGAATAGAAGGGGAAACTAGGATTAAGTTACCTTTAAAGAACAAAATTTATTTAAATGTATGAATACAATGAAGATAATACTATGGAGTTAGCAGGGATTCTTTTGAGGGAATTTAAGGATTCCGTAGGGAATATTTTGTAGAGAAAACTAAACGTATTTCTTTAAAGTACAAATAAACGGATAGACAGCGCTTCTGATAATCAAACAACGGATGCAATTTGGAACAAAACAACTACTGGAAATACATAAAATTTTAAAAATCAATTCGATTGAAGATAATATATAGAGAATTAAATTTCGAACAACATTTTACACCAACATCGAACAACAAGAACTAAAAATGGTGTGATCTGAATATAACGTTCTTACCTAATACTACGATTATAGAATTCTGGTTCAAGTATTCTTTTCAACGTCTTGAAAACTTTGCTTTTCAATTGCCCCTATGCTTCCATTAAAATTTTAAAAAATACATTTTTAACTATTGGATAAATACAGAATTCTGCATACAAATATAATATGGTAAAATTAACATTAATTAACTGAACTTTAAATTTAAAAAAAAAAAAAAAAAAAAAAAAAAAACAAAAAAAAAAATACAACTTAGATCCTTAATCAAATGAATGTCTGTGAAAAAATTATTCACGGGAAGCACTGATGATTTCAGTAAAAAATAGTAATGATCTATAACAAATTTCATAAAATATATTTAATCAAATCAATAATTATTTAATTGTGATTGTTCATAAAATTTTCAATTTAGGATACAATAATAATACTTTTAAACAAATCCTTTGAATCACTTTTACCTAAAGTTACTATCAATATGTAAAACCTAGAAATTTTAAGTTTCCATTAATTTATAGCGTTAAACGCAAATGTAGTAATTTAAAATTAGTTACCTAAAATGAACATTTAAATATTAACTTGATCTTAATAATATGATCAAATATGGAAGCTGATCACCAACTATCACTTAAAATAAGTTTCTTCCTTCTGCGACGAATTTAAATAATATATAGCACTTTTTTAAATCGAAAATAAAAATTAAAAAAAAAAAAAAAAAATGACACAAATGAAAAACTGTAGAGAAAATCCCACTAACTAATCCGATATTTTCTAAAATATCAATAAGAGTACATGCAGTTAATACTTTCCTTTTTTTATTTTCTACCGAATGTATTTAAATTAAAAAACAAAATTTTACAAGACGTGGTACTGTAACCCTTCAGAAGAATTAGCAAAACAGAACTTACGAATGACATGTCCACGCGACGCAAACAGAAATATTTTACACACGAAGGTGGTTTTAGTAAGTAAAATTAAAATATTTAGTAAACTAACTAAGATGAAATTTAAATACGAATTTTTAAAAATTATATGTACATATGTATATATATATATCTAAACAAAAAAGTACTAAAGCGCTGAAAAAAAATAATTGTTACTTAAATTATACAGAGCTACTAAAATCATTGTTTAAGGATTAAAAATAAAGAAAATATAAGAAATATTAAATTAGAATCCTGTTTAATATTTTTTACTTGCGATACATTTTCGCTTTTCAGTCCTAAACATCATCAGATTATTAAACAGACTAAAACGTATAGGGTCACTTATACACCTGGTGAAAAATTAATTCATTAAAAAGAAACTTTATTTTGGCAACAAAAAATTATACATAGTTCAATAGAACTTAGCGTAATAATCATGTTTATAAAGAAAAAGATTACAATGTTTATCAGAATGTTTAGCAAATAATTTTTATCCGATCGTCAAAAAAATTAAAATAAAAATAAAAATTGACAGATTTGATTATTCAGAAAGCTATTAGAGTCCATTACAAAAAATCATATTTGTTATATATTTATTTCTATATTTTATCATATTTATTTTTGTTGATTTCAGGGAATTAAATATTCTTTTACCTACAGTAGAAAACATTGTTTACAATAAATTATTTTGAGTTTGAAATGAACTTTTTTCTTTTCCTTTTCTTTTTTTAATATTACTATGTTAACAATGTATAAGAAAACACTTTTTAAAACATTTTGTAAAATATTTTAGAAACAATATATTGAAAATTTCATTTAAAAACTGCTTACTTAAAACTGTCAATAAATCCAAATTTTCACTTGAAGAAATGTTTGTTGCAAAACTAAGCAATGTAACATAGGAAAGAAACTGGAACATATTTTTCTCACTACACATGTTTTAGAAAAAGAAACTGGTATCAATTTAACTGCGAATGAATGTAAAATATATAAATTTCCAACTTGACGCATAATACGTCAAAAATAAACAACTGAATGTTTTTGATACCATGCTCTTTTGATACATCTTTTGTTATCTAAAAATATAAGGTAAATGGTCGCTCCGGATCGTTCGCAACAGCAAAAACCTCCAATCCATAAGACTAGCAATCAGTATATAGCTAATCGATAACATTCGAAAGGAAATCGCCAGAAGCCAACATTTAAAAACATCACACCATCTTTTTCTCTCCCTTAAAAGTGAACTTTTCCTTACAATTATTGAAAAAGGCGGCACGTAAATTAACGATTCGTGGAGACAAGTTGGCGCGCCGCCAATCAACGCTTTAAAATTTCACTACGCAATTTTTGAAAATTTTGCCACGAGCCGCTATTCGATAGAAGTTGATTCAGAGCTATAGCATTGGGATAACGACACCCACCCGCACGGCGTTCTGCTACAACGCATCAATACAAACGCAGCATAGTTTCTCCCTCTCTATACAGCGTCTCTCCTCAGAGGAAGAAGAGATGCGGACAGTTATAGTGACGTAACAGATAAACAAACAAATATGTAATTACATGTTTTAAAGCTAGGTATTCTTAATAATAAATCTTAAATTTAAAAACAAAAAATTTAATTTATCATATCAAAAAGATAGGATCAATCGGGAGCAACTTACGCGACACCCTCACAGCAGGAACCCTCCAGCAGCCATTTTGGATTGCAAGCAGCCGACCACAATCCCTTGCGTGAAATTAAAAAACATGGCGGGTTGTATTGAAACGGCGAGTGCATGTGTTTATGGGAAATAGATTCTCCATTTCTCTAACTTTCTGGCAGTGATATAGTAAATGTACTCTAAATTAAGATTTATACTTTTAAGAACTGTTTGGGGAAGATATTGAGTGATTGCGATTACAATTGGTAATAAATATTATAGGCAGGTAAGTACCGCTTGCTTTTTACGTAGTGAGTATAATGTTATATGACGTCTTGTGCATATAGATACAGTTTGTCGAATTTTTTTGGAATAGCAATCGATAATGAAATAGAGTTTTATAGATTATTACTTAAAACTGCGCATAATAAAGATTTTAAGCAATTTAAAATGTTTCTCAATTTCTGAAATGACAGATAGCCATGTACAGTCGTAGTGTGAGATGTACAGTGTTGTTTTCCGATCCTTGTATTTTTGAAACGTATTTGCGTAAATCTTGTACTAAATATTTCAACACAGACTTCAAATCCTTTTCTAAGCATTTTTTCCCCCTCATTTAAAACGAGAAAAATGCTTGTTGCCAAAAAAAAGTAATATAAAAATAGTCCTTGTAGTAAAATAGTTTATTCAGTAACTCACATAATAATTCGGACACTCGAAAGTTTCATTGAGATCTTTTGGCAGTTTATGTTTCTTGTCGGTTTTTTTTTTTTTTTTTTTTTTTTTTTTTTTTAAAGTACAGCTCAAGAATTATAGTCAGCATTTGAAACTTTTAGGAAAATATATTAACAGTTGATGCTACAAGTTAGCAAGTTCTATTAGAAATTTAATTATTCATTACTTTAAAAATGGCAGAATAATTAAAAAAATTCTTGATGTAACACATTCTTTGATATTAAAAAACAGTGAAACTTGCATAGAACTGTTGAAAATACCCTGAAGTCTAGACCATATCCTGCCCACCAGCGGCCGAGCGGTTAAGTCGTTGAACACTGGTAGTTCGGTCCGAGGTTCGAATCCCGCGAACGGGCTGGCTGCATGGGCGTTTCTGTGGTTTTCCCCATGTGTAACGTGTATACGAGCCAGTTTCCCTTAAAAAGTCCTCCACGAAGGCATCCCTCCTCTTAGGCAGATAGCCCTCGAGGCTTTGCCATAATCTCACACACACACACACACTAGACCATATTCTAAACTAACACCAAAGAATCATAGATTTCTGTTATGAAAAACAAATAAAACCCAAAAGTTAGTACTGAAAGACTTGCAGGTATTTCGAAGAAAAGTTTGATAAAAGTTAATACTGAAACTATAAGAAGAGTCATTAGGACATATGGATACAATGAGTGATTAATAAGAAGGAAATTCTTTGTCCACGAGAAAATGAGAATATGCCTGGTGTTTGCAAAATCCACGGTAAGCAAGCATTTATCGTATTGGAATAATGTTGATGAAACAAAATTTAATATGTTTGGATCTTCTGGATGAATTATTATGCTACGAAAGCTAAACCTAAAAATCTATTGCCCCAACTGCTATGCACAGGGGTTGAGGTATGCATGTTTCATGATATATCGCTGCTTTGTGGGATGGGAAATTTAAGATACTTACCTATTATTCAATTGACCGTATAAGGTGGTTATGATAAAATCTTGGAATTTATTGAAGATTCTGCCAAAATTTTGCTCATCGTTCTGGCAGAATTCCGTTTTGTACTTTTATCTGCCTTTAACAATAAAACATTCGGCAATCTCTGCACTATTCACCAAATAGCCATTGTTTTGAAAGTTTCTACGCTTTGTTAAAGGCTTTCATCGATTTTGTACTATTTTGTTAGGCATTTTGACTAAAAATTTGGTTTCAAAAGTCGTGAGTACAAACTTCCCATATGTAGTTGTTTCAGTTTTATTACTGTTTTGTCACCCATATCCAGCTGTTCTTTTCTTATTCAACAGATGTTAATTACCTCAACCAGCTGTAAATGAACCGAAATGCACTCACAAATGTGATTTTACATACCTCATATTATGTTTTTTTTTTAATATGCGAGGGGAAAATATGGTAATAACAGTTAATTTATACCATTCTTCATAAAAGCAAAAATTAGTTTATCGAGAATCAGTTGGGTCAACATAGTTGTTATAAATGTTGTGACATCATGCCTTTTTCATATTTGGTGCTAAATCATGTTGCTTGGCAACAGGATAATATAAAAGTACCGGATTATTTTTTATTGAAAATAACAAAGATCATTATTAATATAAAAGGGCGAATCTTTACATTATGGTAACTTGGTGAATTTTTGGTGAAAATTTGGCAACCAACCCTGCTACAGCAACCTGCTAGATTTGTTTTGGACACCATTTTGTTTTCACGAATTAAAGGCATGTTTTTTTTTTTTTTTTACTCAACATTTTTTCCAACAATCTGCTAGCCGAACTACGCTTATACTAAAACTTTTATAGAACAAAAATGCTTAATCATGATGAAAATTAGGTGTCAAATTGGGAGAAAGTGCAGAATCGCAAACTGCTTGCTGCGTTTTTAAGAATTGCACATGCACGGTATCCATGTACAAGTCAACCTATTTTCACTTAAAAAAAATCGCAGAATTGCACAAAAATGGCATTGCACACACTCTTTACTTTATCTATGTACACATTGACCTATTTTCACTTAAAAAGTCAAAGAAAATTGACAAAAATCCAATTCTCCTTACTTTTGTAAAAAGCGCCAAACAAAAGTTGAATTCTGCACTTTAGCAGCGAAATTGTTTCTAAGTCTTATTAGCTCAAGAATCACGATCGGAATTTTTCTGGAATGGTGTCACATTACATGTCTCATAATCTCTCATTTCTCCGAGACAAAATAATCTGTGATTCGAACTGTGTACTTCTCAGATTATTGCTAAAGTCCTAGCGGTTGATCTTTACAATATGGTAACTGGTAGTTTGGCGACATTTTGGAGGCTATAAAGGTTACTATCTGAGACTTTGGTAATAATGTGAGCAGTACTCAGTTCCGATTACGCATTATTTTGCGTGAGGGAAATGAGAGATCATGGGATGTCATGTGATATTAATGGACGAATTACGGTTCTTTAATCGAAAAGGGGGGAAAATCGGGAAAAAAATGTTTTGTATTTAGCTTTATTCTGTGTTGTCTGAAACAGTGTTGTTTAATTTTTGGATCCCATGGCCCTAACTAAAGTGAATTCGAAATGGGTATTTAGGCATTGTGATAAAGAGAAGTTTGCTTTTTATTTAGCGGAGGAAGTATGGAGGAAAAATTCGCACAAAAAATCTTTCAATAATTTATTGAATGAATTAGAAAGTGTATCCGCCATGTAATCAAGATTCTGAAGAAGATTAGGTAAAGTTAGTATTTTTATTATTTGAGGATTTATTTTTTATGCATTGTTCTAAATGTAAGGTGGAAAGGAATTTGGTATTATTGGGAAAATTGTTATTAGCAATGATTTAGTTTAAAGTAATTAGTATTGTAAGGTAATTTTTATTCATTTAATGTATGTGCTCATTTATATTTTAAGTAGTGTTTTTGAATTTAATTATATTTTAATGAAATGATAGTTATTTTTTGAATTTTATGTTTGTAGGAATTTGGTATACGTTTAAGTTGAAATAAACGTGCATGGAAATAATTTAAATATTTGATACTAACAGTGGCGTAGCAAGCATAACTGGCGCCTGGGGCAAAATACCTTTTTGGTGCCCCCCCTCTCCCGAAAAAAACACAGTGATATGATGAAAATCTTGTTTGGAGACCAGTTGGCGCCCCTCTGCGAGCGGCGCCCGGGGCATCATACACCCCCTTGCCCCCCCCTCGCTACGCCACTGGATACTAAGTATTTGTAATGCTTGTGGTATGAATTCGTTGGTGACGTGTATAATGTATAGAGGTAAAAGTTTTTGGATATTTTATTTATTTTATATGTGGAAATGTTCATATTTGTAAAGGGTAAATATAACTTTTTCGCGATCAGGTAATTTCATATATGTTCTTTTTACCGGGTTTAAAGATTGAGAAAATTGTCATATATTTTCGTGAAATTTTTCTAATTTATGAGAAAAAAGCAGTGTACATGGATATAGTGAAGAGAGTGCGCAATGCCATTTTTTTGTGCAATTCTGGGATGTTTTTTTAAGTAAAAATAAGTCGGCGTTACATGGTTTATGTATGTGTTATTTTTGAAAGACGCGTAAGGAGTATGGTATTGTGCACTTTTTCCCAATTTTGCAGTGAATATTTGTCATGATTAAGCAGTTTTGTTTGATAAAATTTCTAGCATAAGTGTAATTCGGCTAGTAGATTGTTGGAAGAAGTGTTCAGTAGATAAAAAGAAAAGAAACATGTCTTTACTTTGTGAAGACAAAATGGCGGCGGGGAAAAAAAATAGAGGGTTGCTGTAGGAGAGTTGGTTGCCAAATTTTCGCCAAAAAATCGCCAAGTTACCATAATGTAAAGATCAACCGTCCTAGCTAGTAACCTTTATCGCCTTACCAAAATGTCGCCAAACTACCTGTTACCATATTCTAAAGATTAGCCTATAAAAGTATTCGGTACTATTCCATTTTGAGGACCGTAAAAAATTTGCAGCGAAAATGTGTGCGCAAAAGCGCCAAATCTAGCGTAAGCGCTGATTTCAAATTACGTAAGTTTATATAGTTCTATATTTCTTAAGATGTCATTGAAATATTAGTTTAATTTTTAAATCCTTTTTTGATTTTAAATTCTTTTTTGCTATCCTATGGATTTAACAATTTGGGAATTGCCCATGACGAAAAGTGCGCAATAGAATTTTGGGTAAAGGGCAGAATCACCCACTGCTTGACGCGTTTTTAAGAATTGCACATACTCGGTATCCATGTACTTATCGACCTATTTTCACTTTAAAAAAAATCCCAGAATTGCACAAAAAGGGCACTGCGAACATTCTTGACTTTATCTATGTACACATCGACCTATTTTTACCTAAAAAGTAAAAGAAAATTGACGAAAATCCAATTGTTTTTACCCTTGTAAAAAAGCGGCAAACAAATAAGTGGGAGTTTCTGCCCTTTACCGAGAATTGTTTCAAAGAAAAAGCATCATTCATTATAGAAAATTCTGTTTCAACAACCAACGAGATGAAATTATGCTTTAACGATAACTCGGTAGCAAAATAGCGATGCAGGCATCTATTCCGTTATGTTTAGCAATTTTTATATA